ATTAAGAAGGTGAACAAAATTCATCATAAAATACTGCATAATAAAAAATTCAAATACTTACTGACTTAGCACTGTTTATATACAGATTAAATATGTACACAACAGCACTGACTTAGTGCAGTTTATATACAGATTAAATATGTACAGAACAGCACTGACGTAGTACTGGTTATATAGAGATTAAATTTGTACAGTAATCTCTATATAACCAGTACTACGTGAGTGCTGTTTATTTGTACAGAACAGCACTAACTTAGCACAGTTTATATACAGATTAAATTGGTACAGAATGGCACTAACTTAGCACTGTTTATATACAGATTAAATTCGTATATAACAGCACTATCTTAGCACTGTTTATATACAGAACAGCACTGACTTAGTACTGTTTATAGACAATTACAGTGTATAGTACTAAAAACAAGTTTTATATTTACAAAAACTGTTACTTACTGTTTTCCCATAAAAATTGGAATCACCAAGAAAAGATCCTCTGGAACCAGTGAAAGAAAACATGGGAAGGGGCACTGGGATTGGGACATTTACTCCGATCTAGCAAAAAACAAGAATCTTGAATTTGGAATTGATAAAAACAGTTTCACTACATAAATATAGATCAAAAGTAGAACTCTACTTCTATTACATATTTACAATTCATGTAATGTTATCTATTCTCAAAACACCCTCAAAGACTCAATAATCAGTTATTATTTCAAGCTAACTTTAGCACATTTCAGTTTTTTAATACTCCAACACAAAAAAATTAATACAATAAACACTGTTTAAACTGTATAAATAGTACTCACATACTTTTAAAACTTGCCTGGCTAACCTCCTGAGAAACAGTCTTATGATTTAAGATAATCATACAACATTTGCACCTTATATTTATTTCAATATACTACATATGATACTTACATTACACAATTTTACTTATTGAAAGGGATGTCTTCTACAACAGGTTTTAATGAACTATTTCTATAGTTATTATTTCATTTAACTATAAATAATCATTGTCACTTTTACAAAATAAATCTAGATGTATAGCTTACACAAGGACAGTACTTACAACTTGTGATCTACATGTGCTGGCAACTTGTTTAAAAGTACATTCATTGCCTAGACTTTTAGATCTGTTTAGGAATAAAAACTGGTAACTGTCAATAATTGCTGCCTGTAAACAGCTGAAATATTGAAACATACTTGACCAACATCAATATTTTGTGTAAATTTTCGTGCTGTGGCCCCATTTGTGGTAAAAATGGCTGTGCCATTCCCATAGGGATTAGAGTTGATCACATCTATAGCATCTTCCATACTATCAACACACATGGCGACTAAAACAGGCCCAAAAATTTCCTCTTTATAACACTTCATATTTGGCTGGAGGAGAAAAAGTAAGAGAGAACAATAGATATAACTTTTTATTTAACAAGTATCATTGTTAATTTTACAAGGTTTAATATAACATAAACATATGGGTTATGTGCTTCTTCTCTCATATTCATGTTGCAAAAGTAAAAAATAAACAACACACAATTATAATATTTGAAATTCCAGTTTAGTGCTTATTTATTACTTGCAGCATTTTTCTGTTCTATTTTACATTAGTTTCAGAACTTAGAGGTACACAATGTTAGTTACCAGTTGGTATACAAAAGTGTTTCACAAACTGGGATTAACAAGAGTACTCAAGGTGATTTGCAAGTTCAAAATTTCATAAAATTATTTAAAAAAAACCTATAGAATAAAAAATATTTTTCATGAAATTAAATTTGTATGAATTAAAACATTTAATTTCAGAATGCAGCTTTTCATGCACACAGTCTTTTTTTTTTCAAAAAAAAAAAACATTGATAGAGTCTGCAAATATTTTATAATTAATAATGGGTCCTCTACTAAAGTTTGAGGACTGCTGGTATACAGACCAAACAGGAAATAAATTAATTTTACCTTGTCTAATGAGAAAACGTGTATGAATTAGAAACTCAAATTACTGATATTGACAAGCTAGAATATAAAATAAGAGCCTGTTATATTTTGAATTTTGCTTGTCTAATGAGAGAATGTTTTATCATTTAAGCAAAAACATTTAAGTGACCCATCATTTATTTTTCCTACAAGCTGTTGATTCCAAAACTATAGTAAACTCTTCAAGAAATCAAGTTATGCTTATTGAAAACATTGCCTATAAACCACACACACACAAATTTAATTTTGAAAATTGGTAACAATGATCTCTTGGAAGAATTATTTTCTTTCTTATACCCAATATATATATACACACACACACACACACATATATGCCAGATGACAATAAGTAGACTAACCCTGAATTTACATGTAGTGTAATAAACACAAAGTATAACTTATGATAAACTGTTGGGATTCATAATTATTCATTATGTGAGAAAACTATTTGAATAATATCTAATAATTATTTACTACTATCTAAAATGCATTTCCCTACTACAGAATGAACATGCCAAAGCACTGTACTATTGTATGAAAAAGGGTTGTAACTTAAAAACACTTAACCAACAAAAATGGTTTTTGCTCTAAAAATTAATAAACTCGTATATAAAGATCTAAATAATGTAATTTTTCAAGACCAATTTCTTTCCAAATAATGATTTGCAATTGAAATATCTATCTATAAAAACACATACTGAAGCAATCCATTAAATAACTATGACAACTGAATTGTACAAATTTTCCCTTGCATCACTGACTAAGATCTTATGTACCACAAAATAGAATTTCTTTAACAACTAATACAAACCTTAACATCAGACAGAACAGTGGGTCCAACGAAATTTCCCTTCTCATAACCTGGAACATTAATATCTCTCCCATCTAATAACAGTTTTGCCCCTTCATCTAGACCACTCTGGATGAGGTCACAGATACGTTTTTTGGCCTGAGGGGAAATGACTGGTCCAAGATCGGCATCAGGTACATGACCTACAAACAAGACAAGTTTCCCCGTTCCTCATATTGTTGTTTACACAAAACATTACCATAATTCTATAATAACTGTTGCTGTTGGATAAAATGTCACATTTTGTAGCACTGTACACACACATGTAATAAGCACTAGTTATAAACCCAACAGAGCATTAAAGACACGTTATATTTAAACTTCTGTTGTTCCACTCTTATTAAAAATCTGTAGCTGGATACTGTTAACATTTTAATTAATAATGTCTGGTGGATGAAAGCTCTTTCTACCCCAAACAAGTTAATAAGACTAATAAGCCAGGGGTTATTTCTCCTACAACGGTTATCATAACCAGTTACTTAAACTATTGTTACAATAACCAAAACCTCTGTTAACAATGCATTTCTATTATTTACAAATAAGTAAATAAGGACAGTATATACTCATTACTGGGTTGATTTTTATTTTTTTGATCTAAGTAGGTAATTTTTTTTGATTGGAAGTTAATATTAATTAGTATTACAAAAAATTGAGTTTTTCTTTTAACTGTTTGAGTATTGTTTTTAACTACTTGGAAAAGATAAATACTAGAATGTGTGTATATAAATAACAATAACTTCCAATCAGAGTATGCCACGTACTTAATGTGAAATGAAAATTCATCCTGTCCATCAGTATAGCTAATCAAATATATTTTTATTACATCTCTATACAAATTTGAATTCATTGTTTCATCAGTTGAGTACCCTTGCTGTTAATAATATTTAGTTGAGTACCCTTGCTGTTAATAATAATATTTAGTTGAGTACCCTTGCTGTTAATAATAATATTTAGTTGAGTACCCTTGCTGTTAATAATATTTTGAACATAATCCCAATAATATCTCATGAAGTTTGGCCAGCTTAAGAGATCTAGAAAAGTATAATGATAAACAATACATCAAAATAAATGGTAATTACAATCAATATACTAATATAACCATACTGTTAATGAAACAACAATAAATATACAAGATAGTGTAATAATTAGATACATAACCAGTAAAAGTAACCTAATATTTTATTACATATTGCTATAAATTAAATTAAAACTATCTATAATATATAACAATTTGGTAAAGTATAATTAAATAATACAAAAAGGAAAACATGAAACTGGTATTTCTTCAAAAAAAATATGCATTTAAAATAAACTACTCAGTTTAAAATAAAATTCATTTTTAGAGAAAAACTATGTTAAAAATTGAACCCCAAACAGAGAATAAACAAAAATAAACTTAGTTTTTTATTGTTTTAAAATCTGTATCTGAAAATGAAAGTAGAAAATAATAGGCTCAATGGGATAAGTAAAAGCTGAGGAAAACACTGTTCAACAATAAACAGAATACCTGCATTAACTTTAAGAGTCTTGGCCTTTTCAACTAAGTCAGAAAGCCATTCTTTAGCTTCTCCAACAAACACGGCAGTGGAAAGAGCCATACATCTCTGTCCTGCTGCCCCAAAAGCAGCACCAACAAGCTATGAAAACAAATTTCACAGTCTTTATTCGACAAGCTAGAATATAAAATAAGAGCCTCTTTATCTTTTCAATTTGCTAAGATATTGCTCATTCTAGAATGAAAGAGGCATAATTTATATTTATTTTTTTATGGTGGTTGTGAGATTGGTCAAATCTACTGAACCCGTACAGAGATTAATTACTGAAAATAACAGATAAAATATAAAGTTTTTTCTTAAGAAATGCTTGATAACTATCTGGACATAATAAATTTTTGCATGTTAAATTTCAAAACTTTCTGATTTATAAAAGTATTTTTAATCCTAAAATTAATATTACTTTGCATGATAGATAGGCAACATGACAAAAATGAAAAGAAAGACATGAGAAAAACATTGCTTTACAAACCTTAAGACTTAGTAAAAAAATTGATATTTTGTGTATGAAAACATTGTAATGTTTACTGATAATCTGCCAAATTTCGTTAACATTCGCTTACTAATTTAAGAGTTATAGCATGAAAACTATAACAAGCACAAAATGATTACGAGGTTGATCCTAGGGACCGAGCCCATGTTGAAAGAGTTAAAGAAGATAGGAGCTTAGTCCAGGAGTGTAGGTGAATATATAAATGCTGCAGGAAACACCTGCTAAAGATTATTACTTGAATAGAGATAAATAATTTACCAGTGATGATTAATTTACAATAATTTTGTATAGCCTATCTTTAATCCATTGGATAGTCAAAAAATATATAAAATTTAATTGAAGTTAAGATTTGTGTTCAAAATATGATCACGAACTTCAAATGAATAACCTTATCATTATTCAAAATTCCAAACATCATGCTGCTTTTAAAATGGTGCATTATTTTTCAGACCTTCCTCAGTTCTTGTAGCTTCTGGTGTACCTGAAAACCTTGCAGCTCGCACTCTCAGACTCAGTGTAGGACGGGAAACAACCCAAAGGGACATTGACCTTGTTGTTCAAAATCTGAAGAATGCAGTTTCTTCTTTGCAGTAATAGTTGTTCCTGATCTGTATATTAGCTGAAAAAAAATAGGATTCTGGAATAGTGTTTAAGTATTGTAAACAAAATCTGCTTAGGCTTGATTGATATTTATGCTTATCTTCTTTTCGAAACTCCTTTTTTTTTTCCTCAAGCATTTAGTGTTATACATACACATACATACATACAAATATTTCAGTCTAGAATCATCAAAGCCGGTAAATAAATATAAGTTCCTCAACTGTGTACCTTCTAACATTTTATTTTTATGACATGGTTGTCTTCTCCTTGTTTTTTTCTCTAGGTAGAAAGTTTGTGCCAGTGGATGTGACTTGTTTGAATTTTGGATTTTCGTAGTTTTAAAGGTGTCTAATTTATTGTATAAAAAAAAAGTTAAAAACATTAATTATGGATTGGATTATCATTTTGTATCTATTCTGTTTTCTAAGGAAATTATGCAGGAAAATGGAAATATTATCACGAACACATCGTAAAACTACTGATCAATTTAAAGCGTATAATATACAAAATTATCTTGTTAAAAGTTTTTAACAATTTAGGTTTATGTAACAAAATAACAAATTTATTTCTTTTCTTTTTTATTTATTAAATTGTTAACTTATAAGTTGTTACATGGTATTGAATAGGACTGCCTAGTCATGGAATGTTTGTTTTGTTTTAGAATGAAAGGCACAGATCCCTTTTTTCACTTCTTTTTTGTTGTATAAGAAGCATCACTTGCTACTTTTTTTAAAAGTAGTCTATCCTGAGGTATTAAAAAAAATTAAAGTATTAGAACTTTGAATAAGAGGATGTTAGTTTTAGATTGGAACTACGAGTTTTAATAAGTGAGGATTTTTTGTTTTATTTTGTTATGGAAATTTAAAAGTAAAGACTTCACCTTTGTATACTTTATAGACTGTGTGATTAAAATTGTGAAAATTACCATGATATTTTTAACTTGTTTGAAATAATACTTTGTAAGTTAGTGTACTTTCAAATGTGAATCCATGATTACCAAAGACCTGTGATATTGGCAACCAGTACATACGTTGAATTAAACATTTTCTGCTAGATATGAAAACAAAATCAACTGATCTTGGATAGAGTTTTTCATTAGTGGTCAATGAACGTGTAAGACACCAGTTATATAACAAAGATTAGTTTACAAGTGGAATTTACTTGGTTAATCTATTGCCTCAGTTTATGTATGAATAAGCTATCTTTATATGGAGGAGCTGTTCATCATTAACCCTTGTCAAGATCTTCAAACAATTTGAGTGGACAACTATGTCACACTCATCTAATGCATATTCCAGTACACTTGATCTAAAATATGCATGCTTTTTCACTCGTCTTACCCAATAAAACGTAGGTGTAAATTGATTTATGCCTACCTTGTGTTCGTTAATGGGGTGTAACTTTTTTAAAACATTTGTACACAAATCTGTTTTCCCAATCCCTGTCATGAGGTCAAAATTTTGTTCTTTAAGACCAATTTTGTGGCTCAGTTTATTTGTGACAATGATTTATTTACATCTTTATCACACATTTATTTGTAAAAGATATTTGTAGCTGTATCCTGATTCTGTGTGGGCTAGGTGTGAAGTAGTGGTTAACTTGCGAAGTGGCAATTCAAAGAGCTCAAGGTTTGAGCCACTGAGAATGCTCCAATCTTTCTGCTGAGGAAGTGTGATATGTGTGATAGTCAATACTAATATTTAGTTAAGAGTAGTCGCTGTTACTTTCCCTCCTTCTGGTGAGCTATGATGGAACCTTGGGGGTCTCTGATTCGTCCATTATCTCATGTTGCATAGGATGCCTTACAGATTGAAAATATCAAATACTGTGTGAACAAATGCTCCAGGATCCCAAACAATGATTCTTTTATACTACGTAGCCACATCATTATGTATGTATATATGTTTCAAGTATATCTTTCAGATACAAAAATAGAAAATTGCACTAACTATTTATATTTGAAATTGAAAGAAATACTAACTGCTCAAAGTAGAAATAGGAATATGGCCATTTCTGTAATGACATTACTAAATGTAACATAGATAGTTTTACATTATCTTGTGTCTTTGTTGATTGAAAGAACATGAAGAAGACAGCATGAAAATCAATAGATGAAGAATTTTACTTTTTGATCGAATGAAAATTCTGTAGTTTATTAATCTCTATCCTGTTTTAAACCTGTTTCCAAGAAGGTCAAGTCAATCAGGATTTTGTGTGTACTATCTTTAATCAAGAAGTTCTATTGTCATTGTTGAAATAATAGTAAGTTTGTTTATTTTTGGGTAAATTGTGTTACCCATTTTCTCATTTATAACATAAAGTACTACTCTAAGCAAGAAATTTATGCTGTTTTCGTTTTTATTGAGTTTACAAATGTGTCGTTCACAATCGTAGTATTTGTTTTATATGATGGAATGTTTGGACTTGTAAACTTGATAAGTATTTAAAATTAGGAACAAATATAAAACGTTTTGGCCAGTTCATGGAAAAATGTTGGAATTTGCTTTAAAATTTTTATTAATGGGTTCTCTGTAAACAACAGGATTTTAGTATACTGTAGAATTCCCATCTTTTGAAACTGATAGGTATACAAGCATTTTTTAAATAGAAATTGTATATGTATGACAACTTAGATCTTAATTCGCTTGATATATACTCATCTCAACCAGTAGATTCCCTCCAGTATTTGTTAATTATATGGATATTTGTCAATTAGAGCATTTATAATTAAAAGGAATACTTTTATTTGAGTTTTTCTTTAAATAATTATAACTTGATAATGTAAAAGTTTACTTCCAAATCTATATCTTAAAACTTCCTGTAAGCAGAAGATATGTGATAAAAATAAATAAATAAAAGTATTTGTACCAGGTATTTGTAATGCCATGTTTGTTTTTGTTGTTGTTTACATCCAGATTTCGGTGACTGATTATATTTTGCAATAGAAATATCAGATACACCTTCTACTTTTGTTTTTCAATGTCTGATATTAATTTTTTTATCATGTTGCAAGATAGAATTATTTCTCGAAAAGGCTTAACTTTTGATATTTTCTTTTTTTAAGAAAGTATTTCTTCTTTGATACCAACTTTATACGTAAACTAAACTATTATGAATGTATGTTATTTAAAATTTAGACTCTCTTACTGGTTAATTATATTACTGGTTAATTATATATATGTGCAAAACTTCTTTAAACTAATTAGTTAAAAAAGGAAACACGATAAATTTAACAGCATTAATTATCATTTTTTTGGTGTTCTTATATGTTATAAAGTAGCTTTGAAATTCTTATATTACGTAAAGCCGTCAACGTCATGCCCAGCCAAAGAGTTTTGTTCCCCCCCCCAACAGGCTCAACAGTAGGTCTTTAAGCTTACGACGCCGAAATTCATGTTTTTATAGCCATGGTGAGTAGAACGCAGATATTCCATTGTGTAGCTTTGTGCTTTACAACAGGCCAGGCATGACCAGGCGAATAGAATAGGTCGCGGGTTCGAATCTCCGTCACCGAACATGCTCGGTCTTTCAGCTGTAAGGGAGTTATAATATGACAGTCAATTCCACTATTCCTTGGTTAAACGAGTGGCCAAAGAGCTGTGGTGGGTGATATTGACTAGCTGCCTTCCCTCTATCACTCCCAAATTATGGCGGCTAGCGCAGATAGCCCTTGAGTAGCTTTGTGCGAAATTTAAAAACAAACAAAGCTTTACAACAATCAAACTAACAAGTTTTAGTATTCAACAAAAGGCATTCTGAACAGTGACAAAATACATAGATCTGAAATGTTGTTTTTATATACTTCAGGTTTGAAATCCCTATTAGACAATTTGAGAGGAATGTGAAAATAAAATGTGCAACAAGGTGACAAGATTTTCAAACCGAAAATCTGGGACAGCCCATCCCTTTCTCCCTAATTTCAAAATAGTTATTACAAATTTGAAATTATTTAACTTCTATTTAATTTGCTTTAAATCTATTGAACTGTTACACAATGTTTCTAAATATATTAGCATTGGTATTGGTTTTGAAATAATTTCAACTACTTTTCTTGGTGGCCAGGTAGTTAGGGCACTCGACTCGCAATCTGCGGGTCGCGGGTTCGAATCCCCGTCATCCTAAACATGCTTGCCCTTTCAGCCGTGGGGGCGTTATAATGTGACGGTCAATTTCACTATGCGTTGGTAAAAAGAGTAGCCCAGGAGTTGGCGGTGGGTGGTGATGACTATCTGCCTTCCCTCTAGTCTTACACTGCTAAATTAGGGACGGCTAGCGCAAATAGCCCTCGTGTAGCTTTGCGCGAAATTCAAAAACAAACAAACTTTTCTTGGTGATAGACATAAAACAAATGAGCAAAAATGGTCAAATTATACATCCAAGAAATCGTTAATTATTAACGTTATCCAAGTCATCTTAAAATAAGCTACTTCGTACCTACTTATTTAGGAATCCATAACATTTTCAAACATACTACTTTTAGGTTTAGCATTACTTTGAAACGTTTTAGATATATTTGTGTGAAAATTGAATGGAACGTAGAAATTCTGTTTGTTTGGCATTAAATAGTTATGACTGTATAAAGTGTTTTCACATTCAAACCTGCGCAAACTTTTCAAGAGAGTTTGGCGGCTGGAGAGTACGTGTTACAACAATGAACAAGTCAAGTAGGCGTATTACATTTGTGATTTGATGTAACTGACAGTTTGATGTCTTTATCATAAAACCGGGATGGTTAGTGCGCCCCAAAAACTTTTCTCGGGTCACAAGGACAAATGACTAGAAAAAAAAAAGGAGACTGTTCCGGCTTAACCGGAACGTCTGGTAATCCCAAGCTACAATCTAAGTCTTTTTTTTTTTTTTTTAGAAACGTTAATTTTACTGGATCTTGAATGCTTTGCCAACGTACAAACCTAACTTTATTTTGTATATTTTTGTTTTATAATTATGTCGTTTTAAACATAACAAATTTTGAAATCGTGAGCATGGACAAAATTATGAACTTGATTATTTTATATACGTATTTTCTGACTAAGTTGACGTAAAAAAAGTACAACGTAGATCATACGAATTTTAAGAAATAAAATTATTTAAATCGATGCAATAGTTGATAGTTCTATAATTGTGAATAATTACTCATATTGCGACAATTTTGAACTGTCTTGATGTGTTAACAAAAATGTCATACACTTTCATTTTGGTTAAATCAGTTGTAAGACTCTGTTAAAAAAAATGGGCCCGGCTTGGGCGCTGAGGGTCACTGGTTCGAATCCCAGTCACAACGAACATGCTCGTCCTTTCAGCCGTGAGGTTGTTAAATAGTTGTGGTCAATCCCATTATTCGTTGGTAAAAGAGTTGCCGATGAGCGGTGTTGACTAGCTGCCTTCCCTCTAGTGTATCAATGCTAAATTAGGAACAGATAGCCCTCGACTAGCTTTGCGCGAAATTCAAAACAAACGAAATACAGCGCTAAATTCCAGGGTTCGATACCCCACAGTGGACACAGCAGATGTGTGGCTTTGCTCTAAACCAAACAATCAACTATTAAAATTAAAAATGGAAAACTAGATGTTCACATTTTTTCACCAAATGTAGCAGTAGGAATCCTCAATAGCCGCTGCACTTGAAATTAATTTAGGCAAGATTAGAGTAAATTAATCTATGGGACCTTCTTTTCCCCCCTTTTCTATTAGCTATATTTTTGTGCGTCAGCAATACCAAGCGTGGGGCGAGTGTATACCCGATTCGATTTTATTACTCATCAGGATCTCTACCAGCCTACCCTCAAGTTGAAATTCATTCAGACAGAATTAGCGTAAAGCAATCTGTAAGATCTTGGGCGTCAATCAAAAGGGTTTGACCTCCTGAGCAAACGTATGAGTGCACTAGATCGTTTTAAACTAACTTCTCAGCCTCCAAATCTATTATCATCATCATCGCAAGTCTTCGTCTTCATCATTCATAGGTGAGTGTAACAATAAAACGCAGTATTGTATTATTTCATTTAACATATTTTCAGGTGCAGGATATCACATGTGAATGTTATTATGTTTATGATTTTATATTTTTAGTTCATATACAATACTGTATAGGTAGGGCTATTTATTTATGCATAAAAAGCAACAACATATTTAAGTATTTATCGGAGGCTTACCGCGGCTGTGTTCCCGTATCCTTGTTAAGGTATTGGTAATGGCTGGAGACGGCTTGAATGGGTAATGAAGAAAAACTTTAATATAACAGCAAATGTACAACGTTTCAAGCCGTCTCCAGCCATTATTAGTCTCAAAGTGGGTTCCTCGTCATCGAAAATATAAGGTATTGACTTCTTCCAATACAGCTTGCTCGAGGAACGTATCTCATGTGTTGGAGGAGGACCCACTCACTCTATTATTAAATAAATTAATAATTCAGCGTCATAAAAATATAAAAAATCAAGGATTAATAATTAAGTATTATTGTTTTAACACAAAACTACACAACAGGTTAGTTGCGTTTCGTCTACCACAAGAATCGAACCCCGAAATTTTGTATTTAAAGTCCGCAAACTTGCCGCCTACCCACCGGGGAGCTCACGTTAAGTGAACAAAAGACTTTAAAAACTAGTACTGAAAATAAGTTTCTAAATGGGAAAGCGTTCATTTAAATTATGAAATCATTATTTTGACGTAAAGTTAAAAATTAGAAAAGAAGTCGTCGAAGACATTAACTGATTAAGTCACAGCTTTCTAAGCGACGAATGAAATAGTATCTGTAGTAGTTATATTCAAGAATTTATTATTGGTCAGTACTTTGTTTGTGTGGGTAGTTCTTACTAAGCCTAACATGGAATAGATATATATTTAAGCAGGCAAGTTTTCATGGTACCAGCTGATTGTCACGAGAAGAGTCTTATATCCCCTATCACAAGTGATTATGATTTTTGTGCGCCAGCAATATCAAGCGTGGGGCGCGCGTAGAACCGATTTGATTTTATTACCCTTCACGATCTCTACGAACGTACCCTCAAATCTACCTATATACTCCAAGTGGGGCATCTTTCTTTTATATATATATATATATATATATATATATGGCTGGAAGTAATTTTAAAAATGTTAGTCTCGCCACAAAGCGCCGTCGTTTCGCGCAAGTTGTGTGTCGATCGGTACCGCAACAGCCAAGATATCGTCGTGACAGACGGACGGTTTTTCGTTTTTGTGTAGTAGATAGCGGTTTCCAAGCTGAACAATGCTATAAAAGTCCATTGGAACTGCACCGGGGGCAGGGGAAAGTGGACTTACCAAGCAAGTGTCGAATGGGATGATTGTGATCCCAGTTTTTTCATAATCTTTTTCGCGAAAAATATCTGTTGATTTTGAGGTAATTCGTGAACTTTTGGCTTCTTAAGTTTCGTTAAATTATTGTTTATCTTGTTGATATTTCCTGGAAATATACCCAGTTTAATCACGCTATCATTTCTACGTGCTTCAGGGTTTTATGGTGACTATAGGATAAGAGCATTGTTCTGGATTGGTTCATGGATAAGGCTTCGGAGCCTATTATTGTTTTAAACACTTTGCTGTGCGACTGTTTCCACCATTGTGGGAAAACAATGAAACCTCCCCTCTTTGAAATGCTGTCTCCTTTAGCTTGATATGTTTTCACAATATTACTGAACGAATATATATTTCTCCAGAAGTTCTATCATGGTGCCATTACTCTTATCAAATGGTCGGAAATTCGTCGTGAACCCAAATTTAGAGGAACCAAATATGTTTCCTGTGGCGCTACAACTTACATTTGTGGTAATAAGCCAACGTATATAAATAGTCCTTATAGAGTGCAGTTAACTCTCTGTGTTTTACTAAAGATCTTGTTTATGTCA